TTTTTTTTTTTTTCCCAAATGAGGAGGTATTTATTTATAGATTTCCCTCTAAGTGTTGGGATGGTTCGGTTATTTTCCAGTTGTGCCAAATGTCGACTCCTTATTGGTTATCTTGTAACTAATTCGAATAAAAGTCATGTTTTATTCATTTCCTTATGTACTTTTTATTGACAGTCTGTAACCAACCTATTTATGAAAAATAATTCGTGACTCTTAGGTGAGCCTTTTGCATCTTCGATCCCTTCATGTGTTGCTTTCCGTTTCACTTAATGGTAAATCTTGAAAGGTGTATTCCTTGATTCAACAAAAATAATGTAATAATTTCATTTTTTTCGAGTATAAATATAAATTAACAACTTATATTCGTTCATTTGAGAAAATATTAAACTCATTAGAATGCAGAAAGTATAAATCATGTGCTTATACGTACATATATAATTTTTTATTTGTATTTGTAGCCTGATTATGGGTTCTGATAATCTTTACTCAGCTTCCACTTTGATATAATATATCATTCTTAGTATTATTAATAAAATAAAGGGAAAATTGCAGCCGAGGTACCAAACCTTTCGTTTATTAGCAGACTTTGTCCAAACCTTTAGTTTGTGCCACCGGAGATACCAAACCTTTCAAAAATATGCACCAGAGGTTCAAATGGATGGAAACCGTCCGTTTGAACGTTAGTTGACCAAGAAAAGTAAATGTTGACCTATTTTGACTAAATTGAAAAGGGTAAAAAGGTAAAAGTTACTTAACCCTATAATAAAACAATTAAAATAAATAACTAAAACATAAAAAAAATATTACTATTCATCTTCTTCTTCACCCAATCCACCCCGACCCGCATGCACCCTACCCCACCCCATCCAAAACAAAAAACAGAAATTAAACAGCCGCCTTCTTCTTCAACCTCCCCATTTCTCCGATTTTGTACACAAAAATCCAAAATTTATTAAAAGATTATGTGACAAGCACGCATCCAAAAATCGAAACTTCGTACAAAATGAATGACACAGAATTATTGAGCAAAGATATAGTGAAAAAAGGAGTGTTTTATACCGTAAAAAGAAGGAAAGCAAGAAAGTTTGCAATATTAATCGAAGTTTGAACCATAAAAGCCTGGAGTACAGGGCCCAAAACCCTCTGCGGCACTAAATCGTCAATAGACAAAGCCTCCATCTCCATCGGTTTTCACCTGAAACAAAAGAAAACACTACAGAAGGAATATACAAGAAAAACTGTTAGAGAAATTGTCAGCTTTTCATAAATAGAGAAACACTGCAAATAAATTATCAAATTTCTGTTTAATTTTTTTGGATGGGGTGGGGTAGGGTGCGTGTGGGTGGATTGGGTGAAGAAGAAGATGAATAGTAATATATATTTTTTTTTTTATGTTTTAGTTATTTATTTTAATTGTTTTATTATAGGGTTAAGTAACTTTTACCTTTTTACCCTTTCTAATTTAGTCAAAATAGGTCAACATTTACTTTTCTTGGTCAACTAACGGTCAAACGGACGGTTTCCATCCATTTGAACTTCCAGTGCATATTTTTGAAAGGTTTGCTACCTCCGGTGGCACAAACTAAAGGTTTGTGCAAAATCTGCTAATAAACGAAAGGTTTGGTACCTCGACTACAATTTTCCCTAAAATAAATGTTTGAATGAGTAGACGATGATGCTATTAAAAAGGTACTGACCTACTTTTGAACTTTCTTATACACTTGTATATCTTCAACAACCATACACAAAAATTTATTAATATCTGACCATTTTATTTCAAAAATAAATATATTTATCGATTTTCTTGTACATAAAATAACACTCTAACATGGAAAATACGTGTTAATGTTACACAATAGAAGCAAGCAAACAATGACAAAATAGTAAGAGTGATAGATACATATAGATATAGACAATGACGAAAGTATTAGTCAACGTAGGAGTTCAACTCTTTAAATGTTAGGTTTTTGCCGAACTGTACAAGGTACAATCCCCCACACAAGGCTGAGGCCCCCTCATGTGAGGGGGCTGTGAACGATGCTTAGCACCGTACTGTGTGCGCAGCACCGTCCTTAAATGTTTTATGGAAAAAAGTAGTACTTATATTCTCTTCCTTTTCCTTTCAAAGGTGGGCTTGACTTGACTTTATGTACATTTTCAATATACACGTTTTCTATGTCTTATGTATTCTTTATTTATTAATTTACCTAGATTACAAAACTCTTCAATTATCTAAAATAAAATATAGGTAATTATTCCAAAGATCGCTGCACAGTCCTCGCTCAAGTTTTGAGTAGGAGCGGGTCGAGTCCGTATCGTCTTGGAGCGATGGATTGACTTATTCCATTTCAATTCCTTTTCGATACATCCCAAGAAAAATATTAAATTAAATCTCAAATTGACGGATTAATCCTTTATCACGAAAGGCAAAGTGCACACAGAATCAAACGATTTGAAAATGATTTTGTAGAAAAAAATGTAAGGTAAGCGTATGTAGACAATATCGATAGATACAATCGAGCAAACTTGAGAAATTGAATATTTTGAAGTTTGACAAAGCGCCTCCCATTATTTTAGTTAGAATGAGCCGGAGGGATTTCAAGACATTTACTTATGTGAAGGATTGAGGATCGTGTGTCACACATATTTCTACATTATAACTTGCAACTAATTCAGCTTCCACTTCTTGAAAATATGCAGGTCCTCACATCATTTTACATGCAAATTAGGCCCGTGTTTGGTATAGAGTAAAATCAAAATTTTAATACGTTTTTTGATTAAAAAAATGACAAAAATGATTTAAAAGTTGCGAGTTCCAAAAAAAGTGTAATTAAAAGAAAAAATTTTTGACTAAAATTTTTTAATGAATTTTAATTTACACCAAACATATGCTAAAATTGATTTTGAGATTTTCATAACGAGTCAAGATGAAACTTATGTATGACTTTTATATTATTAATTTCTATCTATCTTTTTCCATTTTCTAACGTACCTAGCTACTAGACCTCAAAAACTTAATCAACACCGACTTACATTTTACTTTCTTTGCCATCACCAACCAGGATACTAACATAATTTAAACACAATCATGTTGGGTACCAAATTATTTTGACAACCCAGTTGATCTACACTCACAGTCTGGGTGGGTGGAGTGCCATTTTCTACATTTTTATTTACATGAGGTCGGCGTGGGTCCCATGCCAATGTGAAAGTCGGTCATCTAGATGGGCAAAATTCATCTGACACACTAACTTTATTAATATAAATAAATGCCAGCCAAGATACTACCAATATTCCAGTTTACAATCTTCGAGTGGCAATACTCTTTTCTCCTTTTCTTTGCATCTTCCTCAGTACCTTCCTACAACCTGAGGATCTCCTAAAACTTCTATTCTATATATCATCTCTTCATTGGCTTAAACAAAGATAGAAAGTTAGAAAGACAGATAGTATTTTCTGAAGAAATCAAGAACTTGGCTATGGAATTCACTAGTTTGCATGATACTTCATTGGATCTTAATGCCAAACCAGCTCTAAGGATTTTCGACGATGCCCAGATACTGGTATGTGAAGTTTTAATACTGTTGTCGAAGGCTTGGGTTTTTGGTATACAAATGTCATTTAATTAAACTTGGATTGATCTTTTTCTCTGAAAGAAGATGTGCAAAGTGATATCATTTAGTGAGAGCATCTCCAATATCATTGATAATGTAAATTGGTATCTTCAAAACCATTTTTCATCCTCGTTTACATCACCGGTGGATCCAATGAAAAGATCTAAATTCACTTTCTACCTCTTGGTGGATGTAATATTTTAAGCCGAAAAATACAATTTGCATCTCTCCATTGGTGAGGTTTTCGATCACTTTGTAGATCTAAATCTCTCGGGAAAAGTAGTAGCAAGAAAAGAAGAAGCGACTGCTACTTATTTTTTAGGATATGTTAAAGGTACCGTTCCTCCCAATAGGTCGAAGGATAGAACTTGTTAAGATATGCCCCTCACTCTGTTCAAAAACCTCGTCCGAGAACTTTTTATAAAGAAGGATTTACCACTGCACAGCAATTCTTTGACACTTTAGATCTGCCCAGACCAGTCCTTTTGTACTTGAATTTCATTATATCACTTCTAAGCATTCGATTTCATTTTATACTTCGTAGTTAGGAAAAAAGGTCTATTGAGCGCCTCATGACTACGAAATAAACGTTGTGACAAGAGTGATGTTATCTCACGCCTTGCTGGCAGCCGCAGTGTGGGGGTTTGATTTCTGAGACATGGAATTGGATTCTTTGTAGGCACAGTATACAGGCAATTCTTGTTCCCTGATCTATTGGGGCACATCTCGCGATTTACTTCCCTCACAAAGCTTTAGGGGCGGGGCCGGGCGGTTGTGTTCAACCCTTTTTTTTTTTTTAATAATACATCCTATTTTCTTATTCGAAAATAGTGGGCCGAAAAGTTGTTCTTCTAAATATCTCAATTCTCTCTCTCTAGGAATCTCATGTCATTCTTCTGTTTCTTATTTTTTTCAGAGAGGTGCTCTAATGGAGGAGCTAAAGAGGGTGAGCGCAGAAAACGTAAAACTGACAGAACTATTAACAGTTACATGTGAGAATTATAATGAACTGCGAAAACAATTAACGGAGTATACATCGAAGAATCCTGCACTGAAGAAGAGAAAAGCTGAAAGCAGCATCAATAATGGGAATAATAATCATGGAAGGAATGGCTCTGATAAGAGTAGCTCAAGTGATGAAGATTCATGCAAGAAACCAAGGGAAGAACAAATAAAAGAACAGATTTCTCGGGTTTATCTACGAACAGAAGCATCTGATATGAGCCTTGTAAGTACCAAATTAATTATATCTTTTGGTAGATTTGGCAATAAATCGATCGAATTAGTGAAATAGATTTATGTAGTCTATCCTGAAATTATTAAGAACGAGGCTTAGTTAACAATTGTTGTTGTATGAGAGTGGAAAAATAAAGATAAGTCCATCAAGATATTCAGAGGAATTTGAGAGAAGTCAAAGGACTTCAAGAGATGAAGCATGAGCAATTTACTATATAAGTACTTTTTTTACAAAATTGTTTTTTTGCTTATGCTGAAAGTGACTATACTAAACTTACAGGTTGTCAAGGATGGATATCAATGGAGGAAATATGGACAAAAGGTCACAAGGGACAACCCTTCACCAAGAGCTTACTTCAGGTGTTCTTTTGCTCCAACTTGTCCTGTCAAAAAGAAGGTGAACCTTAATTTTCTAAGCTCTGATTTGTGGTTACGTCGACGGGGAATATGTAGGGGCGGCCACGGTAATGTGAAATTCAAAGAGAATTGAACCAAATCAAGTACCAATTGGTGAACATTGGGAAGATTTATGAATTGAACTTACTAAAATATTTGTATTATTTTCTTGCAATGAAGTGAACATTCTAAGTTGTTTCCATTTTATACAGGTTCAAAGAAGTATTGATGATCAATCTATTCTAGTTGCTACATATGAAGGCGATCACAACCATCCTCAACCCTCAAAACTTGAGTCCACTTCAGGCTCTAATCGGTGCACGACACTTGGCACGTCCCCGACCTCTTTCAGCTCATCCAGGTCTACCATTACACTTGATCTTGCGAAACCAGAGAAAACTACAGATAGTGCAAGAAGTTCAATCAGAAAAATTGATTCACCAGAATTCCAGCAGTATTTGGTGGAACAAATGGCTTCTATACTAACGAAAGATCCCAACTTTAAAGCAAGCCTAGCAGCTGCCATTTCAGGCAACTTTCTCCAGCAGAATAAACAGACAGGTAAGAGCTCAAATGAAGAAGTTGGTGAGGGTATTTTGGGGCCTTTGACACTGTGCAGGGAATGAACTAGTTGATACAAATCGACGTTGTGACAAGAAGACGAGTGGTTGGAACTGAAAAACAATTTGTTTTCTCGACACCCAAATGGTCGACCGGACCCCAAAAAAATCCGGGACAGACCTAATCTAGCTGTGGTTAGAAATTGTGATGACTGATGAGGATTTTGTATGAGCCAAAAGCCATAATGGTTAATTCAATCATATAATGAGCAAAAGCTTGTAGAGGTGTAGGTCATCTAGCATAGAGGGGAACACATACCTTAACATCTCAAAGAAAATATAAAATTATTATATTATATTCCTCAATTATTCTAAGGTCAAGTCACTACAACAAAAGTCACATTTTAAAAAATATAAAAGACAACATTCATTAATTGCATTTTGTTAAGAGATCTAGAGTCTATGTGGGAGTGATTTTGAGAATTGATTTTTTGACCGTTAGGAGAAAAGTGGGATCCACCTGTAAAAGAAGATGTCAAATATGACGATTGAAATAGTGAAATAACGATCAAAAAATCAATTTTTTGAGAAGAAAAATCGGTCCCAAACAAGCCTTTATTATAACATTTTAAGGAGTATATTGCTGCTCACAAATATAATTAAAATTTGACAACATTTTTTAAATGCATTTTGCTAATACTTCCGTTTGCAACAGTTGTTGACTATTATCAGAATGTTCACATATTTCGCAATTTTTAAAATGTTCACTGAACGTTGTTAAAACCCTTTTCTTTAGCAACGCTAACCGCGTTTTGTTGGAATTTGGCAACATCAAAAGAACAATTGGTCTTGTGTTTGTTAAAAAACCCTCTTCTTTAGCAACATGTTTGTAAAATGTGCTTTTTTGCAACGTTTTTTGGCTGTTACTAAAATATGCTCTTTTGCAACGTTCACCCTATTGTTAAAACATTTAGCAACATTTCTATTTTGCGACGTTCTTTCCTAAGGCCTTTGCATGCACATACATCTAGGAGGAGGAGGGCGAGGGGGCCACTCCATCTAGACTCTATTTCAACGACTTAAATATAAACTCTTATTAAGATGAAAATGCACAAAAGTTTAGCCTAGACATGAAGTATATCATCCTACACAATCAGATACTGCTACTCAATATGGATACATTAGAAATGAATAATTAATTCATAACAATTAAACTTCATGGCATACACGAGCCAATCCTAGCGTGTTAAACTAACTTTTCACATAATAGATAACAATGCTTCAAAGTGAATCTAAAATAATTACTACTAAGTGGTTAAATCCAAATCATCAATAGCTCTACCTAGTTCCATATCAGTGATCTCTTCTACTGTCTTGCATTCATTCATCGTCTTGAGGCCATCATCCTCATTTCTTAAATCACCCGCAGCTATACAATCCTGATATCTGAAACAACTGATGAGATGGTCATTTGTAATTCCAGCTGCTTGCATAAATGAGTAAACAACCGTAGGCCCAACTCCTCTGAACCCTCTTCTAACCAAGTCTTTGCTTATGGCATCTGCTTTTGACGTCTTAATAGGAAGTTGTCGAGGATAGCGGAAGTTACAGATTATTGGCTTGTAGTTAACAAAACTCCATACATATTTGTCGAAAGACCCTAGGTCATCTATTATCTGCATCATGAGAAGTACAAACATGAGACCAATTGTTCACACAAGTTCATAATTTATAACTAAAATTTTTCATTTTTCAACCTTCTTTATAGTCTTCTTGTTCAATAGCAGTGATTGCTGGATTAACACATTTAGCATTGGGTTCTTGGTGAACCCAACAGTACAATAAGTTCAAGGTACCAGTTGTAATCCCTTTCTGTTATGTTGTCAAATTATACATGCAAAAGGAAATAAAGTGATTTGAAATTCTTCTATATGCTACTTGCCTGTCATTTATCAATCAGTTCTGGTCAAAGAAAATACTTGATAATCGCCTGAAACATGTAGTTACCTAACCTTTCCGAGGAGATGATATAACAAACTAATCAATCACTTTCGTTTCAAACAGATCAGTGCTCAGAAGCTAATCAGTTCTGGGCAAAGAAATATTTGAAAACCGTCTCATCATATGCATAAATACTAAGCTTAAAACATGGCCAAAAGTTATCTAATCTTTTTGTAGGAGATACAAATAAAAAATAATCATTCGCTTTGGTATCAAGCCTGAGTAGTAAGTGCTCAAAAGCTATTAGCCTAAAATATGAGAAACATAGAAACTAATATTAGCCCCTTTTTACAACCATTATTTGAAAACTTTGTGTTCTACATACTCATTTTTAATCACACATTCACACAATAAAATATTCTGCACGTAAACCCAAAACTTTTCTTTATTTTTAACCATACATTCTCCTAAAAATCACTACTCAAAATATTGTTTTTCCTAAATAATGATTGTCAAACAGGGGCTTAACTTCATCATGGTCACTCTAATAAATATCTGAAGCCTTTTTACTACAGCATAAGGTTCAAAACGCAATGTTTGCATAATCCCTAAGAAGAAAAATAATAACAACACTGACAAAGAGATCATGAACTAATCAGGAAAAATGTAAATCTTGAAGTGTGGAAAAATTTACAATAAACAACACGATCATCACTTACCTTACAGATTTGACGTGCATTTTCGATTATTGCTCGCAGCTTAAGTTCCGACAGAAGAGAGCTGGCAAGAGTTCCTGGTGTTGCTACTTTCTTCTCATTTAATTTTGACACTGCAATAGGATCAAAGTCCAGAAAGACTTCTCTGCATTCAGATACGCAATCAGCAACAATAGAGCTCATGAAAATTGTATTAATCAAATTTCTGCAGCCATTGTCTGATTGTTGAAAATATAACATATAATATTAAGATACCTAAATATATCCCTTTTGTTAAGAATGGCAGGCCATGTTAGTTCAGCCAATGCAGTGGAGAAACTCAACAATTCAAAAAGTTTCCTGCAAATTGTCATTAGATTAAGGAAGCCATAAAATCGGGTCGTCTAATAATGGAAGCCAAAAACTCAAAAAAGTAAATATAGCTAGAAGGAGTCACATACTTATCATCATGAACAGGAACTCCCCACTCTTCATCATGAAAAGCAGCGTACGATGGATCTTTTAGAAAATGAAAACCAATTAGCACAAGGAATGCAAAAAACAATAGAAATACTTTAAGCTTTTAAAGAAACTGTATGCCTAAATGAGGACTGCATGTCACGGAACTATAGAGAGGGGAGCGTCAAAATGCTAGATGGAAAATGATATAAAACGACAACAGAATGCAACTATGTTGTCATCCAAACTGTCTAAAAAATTAGATCACGGAACATCACTACTGGAAAAATTAATTAAAAAATGCAACGACTTTGATGCTACATAACATTAAGGCATGAACAATTTAACAGATGGATCAATTAGTAAAATCTTCTCTCCCCTTTCTTCCCCCCCCCCCCCCCCCCACACATCTCTCTCTCTCTCTCTCTCTCTCTCTCTCTCACCTCTCTTTCTCTCCCATTTCAGAAAGAGATGACTGCTTTTTTATTTGCTACATGAAAATCATAAAACAATTAACTACATGTATGAGAATATACATACAACATAAACCAATAAAAATGACAGTGATGGGTAATCCTTGGACGGGAAGGTAGAAAAGCCAGCACGATTTTCAACAAGAACTGAAAGAACACTGAGTATAAAAAGGCTATGCCAGAGAAGTCATACATGAAAATGTCATATTAAAAAGGTTATTTGAATAAAAATTACAGAGAGAAAAAGCATAAGGCACCATAGATATTATTTTCTGGTTTTAAAATTATGACAAACTGAGGCACGACACACAATAATAATACATTGCAAGGCTACTCAGACAGTGGCTTTTTTGCTTCAGATGCTGCCATGGAGGTTACAGATGTGGATAATTTAACTATACAGAGGATTTATGTGAATTGCAGACTGCTTCTCAAAGAAGATTAGAAAACTACTATGCAACAGATACTTTATTGTCAAACTACCTGAGGGGGATGAAGATAAGAGTAAAAATAGAATTTAGATTAGTGTAGAGTTCAATTCAAATTATATTTGTTTAGATTAATCCCCTGTTTGACAACCATTAAAAAGAACATTTTGGGGGAAAAGAGTTTTTGAATAGTAATTTTTGAAAAATGTGTGGTTAAAAAGTAGAAAATAGTTTTAGAGTAACGTACAAAATATTTTATTAGGTGAATGTTTGGTTGAAAATAAGTTTGAGAAAAAAAAGAGTTTTAATTTAATGGTCATCAAATAGGGCCTAGCATTACATTAATTTTAATAATTTGATAAAGCTCTAGTTTATTAGATGTTCTTTTGATTTTATCACTTTTTTCCTATATAAGGGGGCTTATTCATTGTAATAGGTACCCTTGAACATATTGAAAAAATTTGATACTTTCTTGCCCAAAATTCTTTCTCGAATCCCCTTTTTCTTACTTTCTCATTCCTTTTCTTCTTCAATTGTTTGTCATCAAATTGTTATATCCCTACGTCACTACCCATATCCTTTAGCTCTTGTTTCTATCAATGCATAATTGATCATGGACGAGGAGCAGTTCAGCGTGGCTGGTGCTAAAAAATAAGTTCTAAATGTGTGGCTTATTTAGATATTTTTAAGCACAAACCACCTGAAACATGCTCAATGCCTCAAAAATTTGTTCTGAATTTGAGCCTATATAAATGTCATAGAGAAATGCAATCTAGTCTGGGTGCTAAGAGAGGACGGAAACAATGAACTTTTGGAAACATGGAGACTACAATTCAAGGGTTAAAGGACAATTTGGTGAAACATATTCCTTTATGGACTTACGAATACCCTGATTGAAGTTTCACTTCTCTAGATTATTAGATAATTGATGATGTTTAGCTGCTTAGTCGTGCTAGTGAATGGGTTGTGCCCCCTTGGAGCACCAGCAACCCAATCTTATAAGAAATAGGAAATAAAAGATGTGACAATATGAAAAGCAGGACGAAATCTTGTCCACTAACATGAGATAAATTCACTATCCTTAAAAGCCCCAAATATTTCTATACAGTGAAAGAACTAATCTATATAGAGGTACATCATGTTAGGATGCAACTAGAAGCACCAGAGCCTTTCATGTTGTGGTATGGCAAGTCTCTCTCCCACTATCTCTCAAAAGTTAGTGTTGATGCTTTTGGCTTGCATTAGGTTGGGTTTAGCAGATTCCATTTACAAACCTCCAGACTCCACGTAAATGTGAAAGTATTTATTACCTCTTCCAAAGTTGAAGTAGCTCAATTTAGGACATGTTCGGTAGTGACTATGAGAATTGATTTTTTGATCATTAGAGAGAAAAGTGAGTCCTACCTGTGAGTGAAGAAATAAAAAATGACAACTGAAATAGTGAAATGACGGTCAAAAATATAATTTTTTTTGGGTGAAAATTTACTACCAACGTGGGCTTAATGCCAAAACTAGTTCTTTAATGTTTATATAGCCCCTGTTTGGACTCCATTTTAATTTAATGCATTTTTTTCTTTCTTCATTTTGAATCAAGCATTTTTCAATAAAATAATATTACATGTAAACCTAAAACGTTTCCTTACTTTTATTTATTTATTTTTAAAATCACTATATTCTAAAACATATATTTCCTTAAACCTCGTTAAAATGGAGCCCAAACAAGGGCATGGTAACATATTATATACTGATTAACCAGCCAAGTTCCAACTGATGAAAAAACTCAACAACGAGAATTACACTCAACAAAAGTTGCTTCTGTGTTTCTAAAGATTATTTTACAAAAATTGGATGTATACTAGCCAGATTTATGCCTGCCTATCATTTTGGCTCAGATGAATTAAGGAAGATTACCAATGATCACAGGATGACCCAAAGCACACCTAAGGAAGATATTGAATTGTGTAATCTCTTCTATTCGTCAGGAGGTCATAGAATTAAGAAGCTAACTAGTCATTTACTTTGTTCCTTCACAAAGTCAAGAAAAAACATAAAGGTGGGCTTTTCTTTTTAAGTCATTCAGTCGTCTAATAATTAAGCTAATTCAGTGAGACTTTTAAGTTATATCACAATCCCAGAGATGTGATATTTATGGAAGGATAAGTTAGTAGGATGCAACGAAAAAATACAAGATTTAGAAAGAAAGAGGAAGAGAGGCAAAAGAGAAGAAGGAGAGAAAGGCGGAAGGGAGANNGAGAGAGAAAATACAGAGAATTTAGGGCAAGAACATCAATTTATGTCATATCAAAGTTAGGTCTCTTGTAATGCATAAGTCCCCTTTATATAGGATTTAAGCCAATCCTAATTGAAGCAGGAAAATATAGCTCCTATTTGAATTCCATTAAAATTTTAATGCCTTCTTTTCTTTCTTATTTTCAACTACACATTTTTCAATAAAATAATATTATACGTAAATCCAAAACTTTTTTTTTTCAACCACACATTCTCAAAAAAATCACTATTGCAAAATACATTTTTCCCAAAACCTCGTTAATATGGAGCCCAAACAAGGGCATAATAAAATCTTAAATCAAACCAATCAAACCCTAATCATGTTTCTTAAAAGAAGTGTCATATTTAAAAAGTAAATTAAGCCCCTGTTTGACAAACATTATCCAAAAACTTTTTTTTTCTACGTACTCATTTTCAACACACATTCACTCAATAAAATATTTTACACATAAACTCAAAACTTTTTCCTACTTTTTTGACCACATATTTTATTGAAAATCACTACTCAAAACATTGTTTTTTGAAAATAATGGTTGTAAAATGGGAGCTAATATTATCTCTACTAAAATTCCGATCATTTCGCTTTGGCTAAGACAACTTGACTCCTACAAGATTGATTTTATCTTCTTAACCAAGGATGATCTTTCTTCTCAAATAATGATACCGACCATATATCAACAACCAAATCTGAAAATCATTCCCAAACATCTAATTTGACCAAGGAGACAATTTTTTCTTTTAAGCAAGTAGCTATAAGGAACTTCGAGAAGTGACGATCTGTGCAATTCATTCACAAAAACTATCACAGAATCCACGTAAGGAACTCGATGCACTAGCCCAATAGATTGCTGTCTACAAACAAAAGCTTGCAACAACGGTGGCTCGAATGTGTCTCGATAAGGAAATAATTATGCTAAATTCAAAACATAACCTTCATTTAAGTGTGATGATGAGTCCAATATATTATTTTCAAGTAAGTGATCCAAAAACTTTTATTGACATGCTGTAGCAATCATGCCAAAGAAACATGTAACAAGGTATAAAAATAACCATGAAAGCATTTTTGTCTACACGGTATGTCAAAAGCAAGCTCATAAGTTTCATGACTGAAAACAATTTGTCCTTTAATCTCGGCATCAAAATCAACGAAATGCGGAGTTAAAGCAATATGACGATAATTAGTAGGCAAAAACCAAATATCGATAGAAAAAGAAAGCAATCAAACAATTTCCTTGGATAAAAATGAGTCTACAATGGGAGTATCACTCAGTTGAGGTAACACCAAAACAAAAGCAACATGAAAATCACACTAAGTAGGATACATTAATTTTGGCATGAGGTTGGCGACACGTGGAATGTTTGGCTTAGGTGGCAAGCATGGGTTCCTTAATTGTATTGAGATCAATTATATTGTAAATCTCTCCTCCCTATCAAATTATTCAATCGTCTCAAAAAATAAAACTTGATTTTCTTCCTCATGATGAGAAACACAACAAGACTTGGGGAGTGACTTGGTAAAGACAGAAGGATATGTCCCATATGTTGGCCTGTCGATAAGCTTCATCTGAGGACTAGGATGTCGTGACACATGATTTCAGGATTCAAATTATTGAAAAACCTAGACACTGTGATGTGGGGAACTTCATACATATCACAACTGTGCAATAACTATTCAAAGTAGACTAGATATTTGTTAACTGTGGAAGTGTATTGCCTACAGTGCAACTAAGTTTGATAATATATAGAGGCATATTTATTACATAAAATGTAAAATGTTGCTTCCCTTTAAGGGTTTTAGTTCTTAGCAGGTAAGAAGGTGATGGACATAAAGGATGACAGTGGGTTAATGAGTTGTGAATTTTTGTAATTTTTAATTACAGAATAAAACTTCACAAAATTTTTCTGGCCAAAGAAAAACAGCTTATTTTGAAACCAAATTGATGTACGATGCAATGAACAAGAACAAGATTGAGAAAGAAATAGGAAGAGTGAGGAGAAATAGAAGAAAGAGAGAAGAAGAGGGGGAAATTTTATGAGAAGATTATCAATTTATTTCATATCAAAGCTGTGTATATTACAACGCATAAGCCCTTTATATATTGTAAACTAGTCCTAGTTAGGGTAGGAAAATACAAGAAATATTATTAAATCAAACCTTGCTCATGTTTCCTAAAATAATCGTCTAATTTGACAAGTAAATTTAATACTCTCTACTAAGATTACCATCAATAAGTTATTGATTTAATAGAAAGGAATTGTTCACAGTAACACTAAAATAGAAACAATCAAAACTGGAACAACTGTATTGAAAATAAGCAAGTTTGATTACGGGCATCAATGGCTCAAGAGTGAATCATTTGCCTCAAGTTTAATGATGAGCCAAAAATTGCCAAACATTCATGGAATCCCAAACATTGGGCATAACCGTATAAAGTTTAATTTGTTGTTCTACAACTTAATTTAACATTTTCAGATTTAAGTTTCAAGAATGATGGATTAGGGACTCGTATGATTGATTTTTATTTAATGAATACCTACTTAAAAATTGGAGCACAATAAATCAATATACACATGAATCAAGAAAAACATACAGCATGAACAACTGTGCAAAATAGACCATATTCTCATGAAAGGGTTGATTTACTAATGCAATTCTAATTTCTCCATTATTATATCCTCAAAAAGATCCTCACAAGGATAACCATTTCTCACGTAGTAATTACAGCTTGGACTTATATGCATGAACATATAAAGTAAATACAAATGTTATCGTTTATATAAAGTTCAAGATTCGCAGCGCCTACAATAAGCTCTGGAAGTTGAAGCAGCATATAAAAGGCATACCAGCATTCGACGACACCCAGGCACACCTTTTCTTAGCCAGATCCATATCCTTGCTCTCACCATCGAAACTCATCTGAGCATTCCACGCTTTTGGGCTGCATTGCCGCTTCCTCCTCATTGTCATTGTCGGTGTCAGTGTCCCCCTCCGCCCGCTAATCCTCCCAGTAGATGGGCTATGTGAAGAATCAGTAGAAGCATCAGATGAACACGAAGCAGTCAACGACAAATTAGGCTTCTGCTGCCTCAGAATCGAAGCGGCACGACCATTGACCGAATTTGAATCCAACTTCAACGCCAAATGATCTGTCAGAGTCACTGGAGACTGCGTCGTTGCCGGTGTCTTCTTCCCGTTGGATTCGTCAACGTCTTCTGATTCCTGTAACTTTTCGCTGTCGGGTTTTCCGATGCGCTTCCTCAATTCCAGGGATCTAGCTTTGTTCCCGGCCGGCCCAAGCACTGGCCGCACCTCGGGCTGAGAAAAGTCCATAGACTTCACCCGCCTCGACCCAGACATTACTGTAATCAATCAATTTCGAGTAATTCACTAACAGAAAAGTCAAACGCTTCGACTTTACTTCACAAGTGGAATTTCAGGAGCATTCGGCTTGAAAATTTGGGCTTTTTCGAGTAAGATGTGAAGGTGCATTGTGCCTTTTTTGCTGTTGTCTTATTTTGCAAAAGGAAAAATGCAGGAATTAGAATATTAGTAGGCAAAAGTAGAGAGAATTTTGAACTACGGCGGAGGACTGACAGAGTAGCGGTGGCGCCGCCAGTTTGTGTCGGTGGTCGAGGATTCGACGGCTTGCTTCTAATGGACGTTTCTAGAGAGGACTGTGTTAGTGTAGACTGAAAGATTACCACTCAAAGTTTGCCACCTGGCAGTGAGAAACGTTTTGTACTTTTCGTTTTTTTCTTTTTTAATTGAAAATTAATTGGTAAGGTCCGTCTGTTGTCGTGACTCGTGAATCCTGATGGAGACTTTAATTATAATTATAATTAATAATTAATTTTAATCATATATTATTATTTAGCCCATGTTTAAATCCTATTTTTTTCAAAATTTATTTTCAACCATACATTCTTTTAAAATAATTATACGCATTTTAAAAAAAATTTCTACTTTTAACAATATATTGTCCAAAAAAAAAACTATTTTATAATGCATTTTAATCCAAAAAGGGGATCAAACAAGGGTTAATCAGATTCATAACTTTTTAATCATATATTTTATTAATTTAGCCCTTGTTTGAACTACATTATTTCCATAATAATATATTTTTGAATAGTGTATTGATAAAAATGTGTAGTTAAAAGATGATGAAAAATTTTGGACTTACATGTAATATTATTTTATTGAAAAATGTGTAGTTGAAATGAATTCAAATCACGATTTTAAAATGTATCTTTTTTTTAAAAAGAATGTAGGCCAAATAGAGCCTTAATTTATTAAAAATCTAATTTTAATTTTAAGAGGGTTTTTGACATCAATTTTTAAAGAAAAATGAATTTTAAAATAAAATAATGATGGGAAATGTGAGGATAAAAAGTTTTTTATTTACGTGTAATATCATTTTAATGAAAAATGTGTGATTAAAAAAAAAGAAATATATTTTGAGAAAAATAAAAATCAAACGACACCCTAATTAAATAGGAGTCTTATACAAAGCTATTATCAAAAAGCTCAAACGGGATTTTTTAATTATTTGACAGCGTTACTATAAAAGTGACCTCAATTTAAATGTACATATTGTAATATTATGTGATGAAATTTAATTTTTGTTATATTAAGTCCATATTTGATGTAGATTAAAATCTACATTAAAGGTAAAATTAATTTCAACCACATATTATATGTGATTCATAATTTTTTAATTACACACTTTAATCAATTTTATTCAAATCTACTAAAAATATTATTTTAATCATCACAAAAAAAAAATCAGAAAAACATTAAATTAACCATTCAAAATCATCCTTAAAATATATACAAATCAATGCGCAAGAGAAAGCATAATTAATGTAGTCGTGCTCAAAAAAGCTCCAAACCAGAACTTCTCTAAGTGTGTTCAACATGACTTTTGAGAAGTAAAAGAAGTTTTGAAATACAAAATATGATTTTGAGAAGTAAAAGAAGTTTTGATTTCTTTTTTGGCCACAAAAATAAAAAATACGATAGTTATCCAAAACATCAAACTACCATATTTTGATTTTCTATCTCTTACGTGAATTCCATAACGATTATATTTTTCATTGGAATAAACTCCTTGTACAGACCCATTTGCACAGGGTCTGTACAGGACCTCTCACATGGGGGTGGACCCCACATGTGGACTCCTTGTGTGGGGTCCATCCCCATGTGAGAGCATCTGTATAGACTCTGTGCAAATGAGTCTGTACGAATAGCATTTCTCTTTTTCATTCTCATTTTCACAAAAATGACAATCAAACGGGGTGTAGAAGAATTTTTAGAGAAAGTTAGTTCAATATAACTTCCTCTAAAAGCACGAAAGTTAGTTCAATCTAACTTCATATAGAAGCACTTTCGTAATAAAAAAACTTTTTTAAAAATTAGTTTTCAAATAAAAATTAAGTTAACTTTTTTCTAAAAAAAGCTCTTCTACAAAAGTAAAAGTCATACTAAACGAGCCATAAAATTGCTTTAAGAATAATTTATATATTTATTTATTGTCAATTAAGTACCAGTATCTCTTTTTACCGTAATCGAAATATTTGAATTAGTATACAAAAATTATTTTTGGCCTTATAAAAGTAGTCTTGAACTCCCAACAAACCTCAATCAATTTAATTCGTAAAATAAAATAATAATTGACTTCAATCTATTGAGAAAACAGCATTATTTAGCACAAAATTAAAATTTCCATGACTCAAATCATCAAGAAGAGTGGATAATAGAAATACGAATCAACAAAAAACATGACCTAACTCTAGGGTTAAAAAAAATAAAATAAAACACACACACTGTTGCATGGGCCACTCTATTTCCATTTTGAAAATTCAAAACGAATTCGGATGTTAACCTTAAAGGTTGAACCCCAACCTTAAGGGTCCCCCACCGCCCTACCCTGGAGCATCGTGAGGGAGATAAATCTCAAGTTATGCCTTCAATAATACAGGGTGGAAGGCTACTTGTACACTTGTACTTACTTAAGAGCCAAATCCATATTTCAGGATTCGAACCCTTGACGTGGCAGGCTCAAGCAAAGCCGGATGTTAACCTTAGTTTGAATTCGGATGGATAATTTAGATTATTCGAAGAGAATCACACTCAATCTCCACAGCAAGAACTCCATTATTTCGTGCACAAACTATTCTTGATGTTGTTGCCACTATTTCTTGAAACGATAAGAACCCTCTTTGGCTATTTTGTAATGCATCTAAAACGCCCTGATCAAATTGACCTAAATCATGGCACCAACCTAAGCTAGGTTTCCTCATACTAAATGGATTCAACTTCGATCCCATGCTGTAGGAACCTCAACATCACTCCCATGAGCATTCTCGTAAAAAACACACTCTTGTTGTCAAGCTATCTCGGCCAAGATTGCGCTTAACGTCCCCTTTCTCGCGCCCCAAATGACCCACAATAGACACTTAACATGTACAACTCCGATGGAATGCTACTCATGAATATGTTTCAAAATATCTCAGACATGAGGAGTCAAGATATCCTTTCAGCAAATAGAGAGGTGTCGTGTCAAAATATATATTGGTGCCATTTCATTTGCTAAGAAGATGTGGTACGTTGAAATATTATAAATGTATTGGGATGACAGTCTAGTGGATAGTAGATCTTAACTCGAATAAATTTGTTTTGCTAAAATTTATGGTTTCCTACTCATTAGTGACACCACACTTCAATCGATGTTCTTCCATGAACCTAATGTGCACATCCCCTATGTTTATTGAATTCGACCAGTTGCACTTTCTTATAGTAGTTAATACCAAATCACCATGTTAATGACAAACTATTTCAAATTTTAAGGAAAAAAAAGAAAAGGATTTAAGACAAAGTGAGTAGAGTAAGTCCTTGTTTGGAAAAATAAAAATAAAAATAAAAATAAAAATAAAAATAAAAATAAAAATAAAAATGAGATTATAATGGAGGAAAGTAATGAATTTCACGAAATATGTGAATGGTAAGAAGATAGTAGTAATGAAAGTGTAATTAGTATTAATGATTAATTTTGACTTAAATTATGAAGTGAATATAATAATATCCAAATGAGCTGAAAATATGTTTGATGAAGGAATTGTTTTTCGCCATGAAAATACGTACATTTTAAAATAAATAATATTTTCCCTAGTCAAAGATCTAAAAAGCAATTCCTTAAGCTCTTATTTTGGTCTCTGTTGTTTCCATAATACATTTTTCTGTATCCTATTTTTAACCATGCATTTTTCAATAATATAATATTATACACAAATTCAAAATATTTTCTTATTTTTAACTACACAATCTCTATCAAAATACTATTTTAAAATGCATTTTGAAAGAAAAAATGGAGCTTAAACAGGCTCTAAGTTTAGAATTATTATTTTTAACCTAAGAGAAAAAAAAAAGAACAATATAAAAGAATTGAGAAAGAGTTAAAACCCTAACGTATTTTATTAAGAATCAAAGCATTATACTTAATGATCTAGCTATGGCTGTAGCAATGCAATTGTCACTCATAAATAGTATTTGATTTACAAATTCTCCCTTGAATCACTAATAGATAACATGTCTTGTAAAAATCTTGCTTGGCAAAACTCGATATATAGGACAATAATAACATAAGAATTAAATAAAGTACACAAAAATTTGAACCAAAGAAATGCTGTCTAATTAACATTATCAGGAATCCTATAGAATAAACTTGTGTAGAGGAAAAAGAATTAATACATATACTCACTTTGATGCTAACTAATGAAAATCCTTGTATCTAAAATTCATACCTTGTGCTACAATATCTTCAATTTTACAGTTATGATGACATATGTTCTATATTGTTTTTTTTATAGCCTTCAAGCAATATTATTTTCGTATAAAATATTTATCAATCCTTAGTAACCGTAATCAACACTAAGGCTCGATGAAAAGCATACCTCATCGTGGTTCTCTTTAGGAGTCTCATATATAATTTGTATCTTATGAGAGTATTATGTTGATGATAAATATCTTGTACGTTATGGATTTATTATACAAACAATATAAATCTTTAAAACTTTACTACGAAAAATTTCAATGAAGGAAAAAGAATGCATTCTTATTTTGAATATATTATGAAAGTTTTCGCATTAAAAACCTTGTTAGAAATCTCAATCGGACAAAATCTTGATTAAGGGGGAAAAAAGAGTACAAAACATCCCATCATGATAATATTACTTGAGATCTATGTATCATGTGTATTAACTTCTCAAGTGTTGTAGTAAATAATGCCCTTGTGAACCTGTCTGTCACAAAAGTCATCATTATAACCACATCTGCATAGATAATAACCATTATGTGGATCAAATAATTCAATATCATTATATTTAAATATTCTCAGAATCATTTACTATTGGCAAAATACAACAAAGCATTTATTGAACTAAGATATTGTGCTTCGGGGTCAATAAATTCTCACTTCAAATGAACAATTAAAATTGGATATCAGATAAATATATTATTTTTCCTTAGGAAATCTTATCAAGACATTATATGCAAAAAAATGTGAATGATAAACAAGAATTCAATTGGTTAAATTTTCAATAGCCAAGATAAAATTTTATTCTTCTAAGATCTTTATCATGAATTATTTATTTAAGTAATCAACAACCTTTGAAAACTCTTCATAAATTTCAATCATGTATAATTCATCAG